TCATGTAATCTAATCCTACATAGGACTTTTGTTGATAATGTATTATATAACCACCATACGATAATGAATGAAGTGAAAATTCCAACAATCTCTCTTTATCTGGTTTACGTTTCCTACCCTACTGTTCTTCATTTTCTATAGTGGCTACATGTAGATGGCGGCGTATAAACCTCTGTTAGGCTGAAGAGAATTATATGAGCTGCAACTTGGCTTGTCTGAATATGTTTGCTAGTAATTGTATGCTTAATCACCAGGATGTAGGGATTCACGTAGGAGTAGTGGGAATGTGGGAAAGGGAAGTAGGCTTGTGGGGGATGTCGTGGCATCCATTATGGCAGCAGGAGCTGTTATGTCTTCCCTTAGGTTAAGTAACGAAATGTTAAGTCCACGTAAAAGAGTCTTTGAGGAGATTGTAGAAGCAAGATCGAGCTACAATAGTCTGCTTAAAGAAATAGATTAATAAAGTGCATGATGTGGAATTGCAGGGGTCTCAAGACCTAAGTTTAAAAGTAATTTTAATCTTTTGTGTGCTAGTTTTAAGGTGGACCTTTTTTGTTTAATGGAAACTAAAATAGATGTGAAGAAGGTCCAGGGAAACTTTTATGGAAGGTTTTTGATAAGATGGTTAGTCGTAGCCCTGCTGATGGTCTATGTTTAGTTTAGAACTCTTCCAAGGTTGTAGTTAATGTTATCACCTTGACTGCTCGTTATTTGCATTGTTTAGTGAATGATCCTTTTCTAATCAAGATTAGTTTTTTACATTTGTGTATGCTTTTCTTTAAAAACAGTTACAGTTGGAATTATGGGAGGATATCCTTATACTAGATCCAAAAGATAAACCGTGGTGCTTAATGAGTGATTTCAATAATATAGTGAACATAACCGAGAAGAAAGGTGGTTGCCAATCTACGACGTCGTATGTGACCAAGTTCATCAATTTCTTAAACAAAGGAAATTGTTTATCTCTAAATGCTTATGGTGCCCCTTTTACTTGGTGCAACAACCAAGCTGATAACAACAGAATATATGAGAGATTTCATAGGGCTATAGCTAATTCGTATTGGTTAAATGAGAACCTGGATTATAACCTACATAACTATTAACTACCCAATTTATGGGTCGGACCATGGATCTATTCTCTTAACTTACACCTTAAAAAATTGTTATAAGAATAATAATCCCTTTAGATTTGAAGCTATGTGGCTTCTTCATCCTGATTTTAAGGGTTTTGTTAAGAATTCTGGCGATACAATGGAGTGTTAATAAAGCTCAGTGAGGAACTTAATTCAATTCTAAGACAAGAAGAAATCATGTGGACACATAAAGCTAAAGTAAATCGGTTGCAATTAGGTGATAAGAACATAAGGTATTTCCACATGGTGGCAACTGTTCAAAAAGAAAAAAAAAAGAGAGAGAGAAATGAAATTAAAAGATTAAGGATAGTTTGGATTTTTGGTGGAATGAGGCTAAGGGTTTGGAACTTGTTTTTGTGTAGGACTTTAAACTGCGATTTTTGTTGTGATAGCCCCCAGCTCTCGCGAATATCTCTTCTATTGTACATATTGTTAATCCTTGTATTGACAACCATCACAATGAACTTTTACTCGAGCCTATTAAGGATATTGAAATATGGGATGTAGTTAAAAGCATTGGTGTATTGACAACATAAATGCATGAGAACAAGCTAACTCAGTCGCATAAATATGCTCCTATCAATGATGGCACCACCACGCCCACCGTGTTGAGTCTTGTTATTTCTCTTCTCCTCTGTGAAGCACAGAAAACTCAAGAAGCTTCTCCGGCGAGTCTCGTGGCTTTCGAGCCAAACTTCAACGAGCTCCGGCCACCATACGGCATGTTTTAGGTATAAATCTCTTCCCTTCATTTTAAACTTCAATTTGGTAGTTAGATTGCACCTTAAGGTTGAGAAGCGGAGTCGATCGGGGCTCACGAGCCAAACTTCAACCAGCTCCGGCCACCATACGACATGTCTTAGGTATAAATCTCTTCCCTTCATTTTAAACTTCAATTTGGTAGTTAGATTGCACCTTAGGGTTGAGAAGCGGAGTCGATCGAGGCTCGAGAAGCTCTGATCTTCTCCCTCTTCGAAATCGAGTCAGACCCGACTCGAGATCCTAAGACTCGGATCGAAACCCAACCCAAAACCTAAAACATTGGGCAGGGCTACCAGGCCCAAACCCTTTAACCCAAAACCAGGGCATTCGGCCCACTGAGCCTAACTCAAATCCAATCTTTTGGGCCAGGTTACAAGCCCAAAACCTTAAAGCCCAAACTCTAGGCCCGGACTCTTTCAACCTAAGCCTTTGGGCCTTTGGATCGTTGAACCCAAGCCCAAGAACCAAGCCCAAACTCGACCCGAATCCAACCTAGAGCCAATCAGACCCCAAAACCCATGCTGTGCGTAAGTGGCACGTGGGCGCCAGTGAAGGGCCACCTGTGCTAGCGCATAGAGCACAAGCACCTCCATCGGAGGTACTGATAGCGGCGCCAATGACTTTTTCAGCAAACTTTCCAACGGCCTATCTCGGCACATGGCTATTGGGGCCGTTATCTTGTGGCATCGCGTGGGGGTACCTGTGGTCCCCCTTATGTTTTTTGATGTTCTGAATCCGTTTTCCAAAATTCAATCGTTATGGTAGAGTTTTATTAATTTGATCCTTTATGTGCTTAGGTGCGTTTGTTAGCGGCGTTTCAGTCCTTTCTATTTCACACGACTCTTCGATGATGGAGTATCTGTGAGTGGATCCCTTCCAAAATGCATAATTTTGCTATTAGAAATGCATACATGAAAAACATGATTTAATGGTTATGTTTTATGAGTAAATTAGATTTTACTTTTTATGAGATATCATGTTGTACTAAGAATATTTTGGAATACCATGCTTTATCGATTACATGTTCTTTGTAGTATATATGATGGATGACTATATACTATGAATATGTTTTGAGATATGATGTTTGAGTTACTGAGCTCCGTTGAGATATATGTATTTATGTTGGAAATATTATATACAATGTTTTTGTGCTTGTCTAATGGTCACTGTTCTGCCTATGGGCACGTGAAGGAGAGCCTTCGAGTGATTTTGATACCACTACTAAGCACACTATATATAATATATGATTTATGAAGTTTTATGGCATGCTAGGGTTTTCAGAAAACCTATTACATATTATGCTATATGAGTTTTCATAAACTTTGGGGGTTAGTACGTTGTTGAATAACTATGTTTGTACTACTTATATATCAATTTGGTTCACTCATGTTTGTTTTGCTCCCCCTTCGGACATAGGAACGAGGCATACGATCCGAGTTACGAGACATTCCCCTACCAGTGATATCGTGTCCTCCTCTCTGCTTTTGACATCACTTGTAATAGCACTTTCTATACACATTTCGCTTGTATTCTAAATTAGATGTATGCTCTGAACATGTCATGCATTATCACTATCATTTTATTGATGGCTGAATATTATTATATTATTTTGTTAAGGTTGTATTTGAATACTACATTACGTATTTATGCGGGAAATTTATATGCATGTTTCACATGTTCTCGGCATATGCATTCATTAAATGGCTTGCGTCTCCCTTGGGTGTCGACGAACATGTGGCCATCCCATTTTCCCTCGAATGTTGGGATCAGGGTGTGTCATTGGACATGGATGATGTGAGAAAAAAATTGTGTGGTGCATATTTCCCTTCAAAATGAAAGTGATAATTTCGTGTGGGAACACTTCTCTACCGGTGAGTTCTCAATTAAGTCGTCGACTTGGATTCAGAGTAATAATAACCAAGAAGTTAAAAGGCAGAAGCTTCTTAAGAAGATATGGAAGTTAATGATACCTCCCAAGGTAAAAATCTTTGCTTGACTTCTTACTTATGAAAAACTTCATATTAGGATGAGATTGTGTAAATTCATTCAAAATATTAACCAATTGTGCCCCATGTGTGGCAATGAGGATGAGACTCAAAATCACATTTTTCTTAATTGCGAGCATGCTAAAGAAATATGGAACCTTTCTCTAGGAAGTCCTTGGAAGAATAGTTTGACTCAATTTAATAATGTGTTAGATTGAATAGAATTAATTGACAATGCTGAATGCAATGATTTGAGTGATCTTAGTACAGTTCTTCTAAATTGTTGGCAAATGTAGAATGATAGAAATAATAAAGTTTTTAGAAGTATGATTCCTAGTTTGGCTAGGAGTATCTCCATTGCCGCAAGTATAGGCTTATCCTTTTTTTTTTAATGTTAATTGTAAGAAGATATCTCAAGGTGACCCTTGCCACCAACACCCTATTTATTGGCATCCTCCTCCTCATGGTTATGTGAAATGAAATTTTGATGGGTCAGTTAGTTTGGATCGCTCTGCAACTGCTTTTGTTCTTAGAAAAGAGGAAGGGCAACTTGTGGGTGCTGGGGCGTTGAACCTTGATGGCGCCACCATTTCAATTGTAAAGGTCGTTGCTTTAAAGGAAGGAGTTTTGTTCGCCAGGCTCAAATGTGTGAAGAAGTTGACGATGGAAGGTGATTCTAAGATAGTCATTCAGGTGGTGCCAGATGTTTGGATTCCCCTTGACATCGTAAACCTATCATAGAGAATATCAAATGGTTGGCTTCTGGGTTCTAGCTTATTAGTTGGAAGCATATTCATAGGGAGACTAATTTCGTGGTGAACACATTAACTCATATGGATCTTACTGTTGCCAACCCTCATTTTTGGGGTTATTGTCTTCTGATTCGGCTATAGAGGCTTTTGATTTTGATTGCATGAGAAACCGTTGTATTAGAAGTATTTCATCTCCATTAAAATAAAAATAAAATAAAAATGTAAAAGGAGAGGGGAATTTGAATTTTCACTCTCACTGCAAGGGTTAAATTACTAGGATGAAAAATAAAAAATCAGCAAAAACAAGTCGACGACTTCTCATGCTTGTTGAGCAAACACAAACGTTGCGTTTCGTGCAGCAACCTCGTAGTCATCGACGTCTTACGGCACCCCCTCTCGCTGGTGTCCCTTCACTCCCTCGACGAGTCCGTCACCAAAATACCCCCAACCCAATTATCCCCTTATTATATCTCTCTCCCCACCCCCTCATTCACCAACCCTCCATTTCTCCTCTCGCTCTCTTTCTCGCTCCACTCTCTCTCTAGAACAGCAGCAGCCATGGAAGCTTCACCAGCTCTGTCGCGCATAGGCCTGGCAGGCCTCGCCGTCATGGGGCAAAACCTCGCCCTCAACATCGCCGAGAAAGGGTTTCCGATCTCCGTCTACAACCGCACCACCTCCAAGGTCGACGAGACCGTAGACCGGGCCCACAACGAGGGGAACCTCCCTTTGTTTGGGCAGTACAACCCTCGCGATTTTGTGCTCTCTATCGAACGGCCCAGATCCGTTATTATCCTCGTCAAAGCTGGAGCTCCGGTTGACCAGACCATCGCCGCCCTCTCCGCCCACATGGAGCCCGGCGACGCCATCATCGACGGCGGCAACGAGTGGTACGAGAATACCGAGCGCCGAATCGCCGAGGCCAACGGTAGGGGGCTTCTGTACCTCGGGATGGGAGTCTCCGGCGGTGAGGAGGGGGCGCGCCACGGGCCCAGCCTCATGCCCGGCGGGTCCCACCAGGCATACACGAACGTCCAGGACATCCTCCACAAGGTCGCCGCCCAAGTGGAGGATGGCCCCTGCGTCACCTACATCGGCGAAGGGGGTTCTGGTAATTTCGTCAAGATGGTCCACAACGGAATCGAATACGGCGATATGCAGCTGATTTCGGAGGCGTACGACGTTCTGAAGAACGTCGGAGGGCTGACGAATCAGGAATTGGGGGAGATTTTTTCGGAGTGGAACAGGGGAGAGCTGGAGAGCTTCCTGATTGAGATTACGGCCGACATTTTTAGGGTTAAGGATAATTTAGCGGATGGGTTTTTGGTGGATAAGCTGCTCGACAAGACGGGGATGAAGGGGACCGGGAAATGGACGGTGCAGCAGGCGGCGGAGCTGTCAGTAGCTGCGCCCACCATTGCTGCTTCCTTGGACTGCAGGTACTTAAGTGGGTTGAAGGAGGAGAGAGAGAAGGCCGAGGAGGCTCTGAAGCAGGCAGGGTTTAAAGAGGAGATTGGCAGCGTGACGAGCGGCATTGATAAGAAGCGGTTGATTGATGATGTGAGGCAGGCATTGTACGCTTCGAAGATATGCAGTTATGCTCAAGGGATGAACTTGTTGAGGGCCAAGAGTGTGGAGAAGGGTTGGAATTTGAATTTGGGGGAGTTGGCTCGTATTTGGAAAGGCGGTTGCATTATCAGAGCGGTGTTCTTGGATCGGATCAAGAATGCTTACCAGAGGAATCAGAGTTTGCCCAACTTGATTGTTGATCCCGATTTTGCTAAAGAAATGGTGCAGAGGCAGGCTGCGTGGAGGAGGGTTGTCGGGGTGGCAGTGGCAGCCGGGATTAGCACTCCCGGAATGTGTGCCAGTTTGTCATATTTTGACACTTATCGGCGGGGTAGGCTTCCGGCCAACCTTGTTCAGGCTCAGAGGGACTTGTTTGGGGCTCATACCTATGAGAGAGTGGATCGCCCCGGGGCCTTTCACACCGAGTGGACGAAGCTCGCTCAGAAGAGCGGTTCTGGCGTCGGTGCACTCAATTGAGGTGGTGTTGTTTGCTAGTTTGATTTGGATTGGATGGTGGTTGTTTTGATAAACAAATTTGAATTGTGTACGTCTCTCAGGGTTGGAGGCTTGTTTGCTTAGGCTTAGCGATCATTGCTTTACCCTTGATTAATAAGAACTGCATGTGCCTTTTTTGAGTTCAATGAGCTTATGATTTGATTTGCCTCCATTGTTCACGTATTTTCGTGTTTTTTGAATCCAGAAATGAGAAATGGAGAGAACATTTAGGTTTATAAGATAGAAGCTTTCACTTTCTTGTGTAAATGGCAATCATGCTGCTTGGACTTGCAACTGGTAGATTACAGCTAACTATTTCTCTAGTCAGAAGATGGTTAAGTACTGACCTAGCCCTCGTTTGGGAGTGAGGTGCTTAAAAAAAAACCACCCATGAAAAAAAGCTGTGAGGGTTTTAGGTGTTTGGTAAACTGAAAAAAAAAGGGCTTATTTTGGAAGCTGCTGTGAGAATAAGCTGAAATCAAAGGAAAAAGCTGATGCTGCTACTTGCAGCTTTGGAAAACTGATTTTTTTTTCAAAGCACAAGGAGCTACCGTGCTCCTTTAATGAATCCAATTACAGACGAGTAAAACAGCTAAAAGATTGTGCGCTGTGGATTTTTACTTCGGGCAGAAAACGAAACCGGGTATCACGGAGAGTTCTGAACTGATAAGAAGCCGCCAACTCTACCCCTAAATCGAAGGCCTAAATCAAAGGCGAAGGGAATTACTATATGAATACACGAAACATGGCAGTATGCAAGACTTAGGCAGCAAGCTTTTCTTGATGAATTAGTTCAGGGTCGACCAGAGAGCCATGCGCCATGGCTAATGAACCATGGTTGCATCAAGCACAAGGGAGAACTTTTCAACGTAATGGAGCTCTCTGATCTTTTGAATACACGAACGTAATCAGTCCGAAACAACATCAGAGGAGCTGCAAGAAAGTTGTTCATGAACGCGAAAGTCTGCACCTTGAAATATGGTTGGCTGCTTCTCTCAAGAAAGGTAAAAGTAGATGTACATCAATATGGTAGTTCATATATATTCTGGTTCGCTTGGGAGCAGCCTCTCCATAAAATGGGGGTAAGGCTAGCCGACATTCACCTCTCCCAGACCCTGCGTAAAGCGGGAGCCTTGTGCACTGGGTACGACCTTTATATATATTCTGGTTCGATAATCCCTTTCGGAACAAGATTATTAGTCTTCTCCTTTGGAACTGAAGTACAAAACCCAGACATGTAGCCACATTCACCTCTGCTCCAACCACTACAATGGCGATTGTGTTATTTTTGTCCTGGCCAGAAGACTCACTGATGTTCATATCCTAAGCTCCGATAACGATGGGGATAGAACATGGAATGAGATTTATACAACTGATCCTACTGACAAGGAAGCAAGGGAGTTGGCCTATATGGATGAAACTTTGTTTTGTATTTTCCATTGGAGCTCCCTAATCGGTGCTTTCAATGTTGCACTCCAAGTCTGGGACATGATGGATTGCTCCACCATCCCCATTAACAATACGAGCAACAGATCATGCGAGTTTTACTTGGTTGAAGTTTCCAATGGAAAAGTCTATTTGATAGCTGAAGAAACACATGATAGTTGGCATGCTTTCGAGTATAATGGTTGAAACAAGAAATGGGTTCAGATCGAAAGCTTCATAGAGATGTTCAAAAATGCAGCAGTATTTCAGGAGTGCCCTTCATCTGTTGCACCAGAGGTCCCACAAGAAGTAGAGTTTGGGCGTCAATTTGCAGAGAGCCGGGTAATTACATCTCGCTTACTACGTAGAAGATTTGATGCTTTTCTACTAGATGATTTTGTATATTCCGTTCGAGAAGTTCATGCACCTGCTTACCGAGTTCCTTTAATGTTGAACTCCAAGTCTTGGATTGCTCTACCATCCCAACTAACCAGACGAACTACGCACCATGCAATTTTTACTTGGTTGAAGCTTCCTATGGGAAGGTCTATTTGGTAGCTGAAGGTTATCATGACGAGTGGTATGCTTTCGAGTATGATATGATGATTCAAACAAGAAATTGTTGATATGTGATGATTTCAAACCCAATTGCAAACCGGCAAGTGATATAATCAAATGTTGGGCCTCTAGTAAACATTTTCTAACGACAAATTTGATTCAACTTATTCCAGAAGTCCAGTCATGATCATGGAGATGCCGAAGATGATGATGATACTCGGATTATTTCTCTTCCCCGGAGGGCGTCCCTTTCCGTTTGGTTGGAGGAGAATGGCAGGACAAGGAAAGAGTGGGAAAAGGAGATGGAGTGGGAGAACGAGATGGAAAGGGAATGGGAGAGGAGGAGAACGGAGACCACTCTATATGATATGGAGATGTAATTGCTCAAGGAGAGGGAGAGGGAGAGGGAGAGGGAGAGGGAGAGGGAGATGGTGAGAAAGAGGGAGATGGTGAGAAAGAGGGAGATGAAGAGAAAGTGGGAGCTGGAGAGGGAGATGATGTTGGATATTGAGTTGGAAGGGCCGATTGAGAGGAAGAAAGGGAGGGGGATGGACATGTTATTGTGCATGGAGATGGAGAGTGAGGTGGAAACTGAGATGGAAGGGTTGATGCAGAGGGAGAAGAGGAGAGGGATGAATGTGTTATTGCGTAAACTGTAACGCTTCAAGAAAAACTTGGGAGAGGAGTGCCCCTCCCACGTATGGAGGCGTTGCAATTTTATTTACAATTCAGATTCTGTAACACACGACATATGTTTGGACAGTGCAGGCCACATTAGGTATCTCAGTAATATTCGGAAATAAATGCAATCATTCGTAAACTGTAGGAGAATGATGTGAAGGTGAAGCTACACTTTCTGGAACATGTCAAGCAGAGATAATGGAGATCAAATCTTAATGCTTATTTTTTCATGCCAATCATCCAAATTTACAATTCCATTCAATACTTATTGCCTTTGTTCAAACAAGTACCTTCTGATTTACCTTCAGATGAAGTGATCCGATGAACCGCGGCATGGATAACCATTCTCAAGAGCCGGCATTGTTCTTGTAAATGCAGCAGAAGGCATTTTACTACCGTAAACCCATCTGTTTTCGAGAACCAAATCCTCTTCAGCTTGTTTCTCCATTGTTTCAATCTTCTTTGTCCTTAGACGCTTCAACAATACAATCCCAACATAACCCGCCACAACTATCAGGGGAAATCCAAGCACGAACCCTATAACCCACAAATGCTTCATGCTTCCTTTTCTCTTGGACGGAACAACAATCAAAAAATGACCTTGCTCTGTGGTGTAACACACACCAGGTGATCTCATTTCGCTGAGGGAAACCGTCCCTTTGGCAGAAAATGATGCACATTTTGCCCTTGCGCTTGTTCTTCTGTCCAATGTGAGATTCGGAAACTGAACCAGTATAGGTTTCCCCATCGTGTTGAGGCCGAGCTTTGTGGTGCTTTTCGAGCTGGTATTCGAAGCATCATAAACCGTAAAACCAACAACAGAAGAGACTAGTGAGTAACCTGGAAGAGGGTAGTAGTAAGATGACCAGTTGCCCAAATTTTGATGCACAAAAGCCAGTCTCTTCACATGAGGCATTGGGATGGTCCTTGATGGAATTTTGAAGCAGCTGAAATTAGTAGCACCTCTATTCCACAACCGCCGGGTTAGGAGCCTCACGACGGAGACTTCCATGCCGGATAGGTTAGCGGGGAGGACAGCCTTGTACAGAAAGCCGGTGCGAGCCCGGCGCTCTGCAAGCGCCTTGAAGGCCAAATCTCGACTAAACACATCCAAAGACTCAGTAGTAGAGTTGCTCAAGCAGCACACACATGAAAAAAGTACAAATGTGAAGAAGCAAAAGCACATTGAATTTGTGCTCATTTTTCGGATTCTCTAAACAATGCAGCTGAAAATATGTTTTAGCCTTCTTTCTATCAGGAGTTGTACTACTTGAAGGGATTCTTAATTAGAATTTGGCTTTTGGAGAAAGTGCTTTTGTGGGTGTATGATTATGTGTTTTCTGCAAAAGAGGGTCAGCATGCTTAAGTGGTCCCTGAGGGGAAGGACTTTTTTGAACAGCTTTCACCAAACGTTTCTTTTTGACTTTTGTCAGATCGAACAACAACGATACCGTGGCAGTTCACAGAGGAGAATCCAATCCAAGTTAAGTGCTTTTGAGAACTAATTGAATGTGGATTATGTGGAAAGAAGAAAGAAAATCTAGGTCAATTGAATGCTGGTGGGAATAGCACTTATTAGCATAAACGACATGCGTTGATTGCTCTCCTATGCTAAAATGGTGGTGATTTAGGCTGATTTCTGCTAGGGAGTAATGATTTAGGAAAAATATAAAAGCTATGGAATGATGGATTGGACCTCATACTTGATTGTTATGTTCATAGTTTGACTTTGTACTAATTTTGTAATGCATTTGACTACACAAGACTTTATTTGGCATCCAAACCTCTCCTTGTTTTTTCTTTTTTCTTCTTCTTAGACTATCTGGTTTAAAATTAAAACACAAGATAAAAAGTAAGAAAATATATCGTGATTACAAAAGATAAAATTTGTTAGAAATTGATAAAATTACAAAACCCAAATCCACAAGCCCTGTTTATTGGGCCTACAAAACACAACATAAAGAAAGATTGGGCCAACAAAATATGCGGAACCAAACCCAATAACACAAAGTCCAAATAACATTTTTATAAGCAACGCCCATATAACATGCAACGTAACAAAAAAATAAAACGGTAAAACATATGACAATGGGGCAAGTGCCTTACTTAAACCATTTGAGAAAGAAAATCACTTATGCGCAACTTTTTTACTTTTTATACATCCCCTCTTAATTTTAAACATTGGTATTCTTGATTTATTCAATTCAGTGACTAAAAGAACGAAAATACATAAGAGGTAAAAAAAGAATATATAAAGCATTTCTCTTGAGAAATTAGAGACTGGGTGATATAAGGTCTAAGAAAATCAAAGGGAATGGAGGTTAGGGATTTGAGAGATTAGTAAAAGGAGGAAGACAAAAAGGAGTGAAGAGAGGCTTTAAGTCTAGGAGGACTCTCAAACTAACAGATGAGTGGAAGACAAAAACAAATAAATCAGATACATGAACCTCTAGAAAGTGGTGACTTTTATGGTAAAATTGTGGTCGGTCTTACGATACATGT